CGTCTTCAGTGAGAGACTTCCCTCCTGCTCAGCGGGCCCTGCTGCTCCTGGCCGACCATCACCTGTGGAGAAACTTCAGGTCCGAGGGCCCTGGCTGGAGTGTCTGCAAAGGCAGAGGGTAGGGAGGCGAAAGGGGTCTCTTTGGCGGTATCCCTGCCTCTCTTCATCCCCTCCCCAGCTGTCATCCTCCTGGCCAAGCCAGGACTTGATGTAAGTGGTCAGGATATTTGCAGCTTACCAGGGCCCTTTAGAGAACAAAAGGGCAGCCTGCAGATCAAGGCAGGCTCCACACTGGCTCTCAGGCATCACAGGCAGTGAGACCCTTGGGCCTCGCCGTCCAATAAGAACGTAAGTGAACCAGATGCAATTTTAAAACTTCTTGCGGCCACATTAAAAAATAGCTGAAAGAAAAGACGAAATTGATTTTAATAATATTTTCTGTAACCTAATATATCTAAAATAGTATTGTTTTAGCAGGCAATTCTCTTTTTTAATTTAAATTCACTTAGCCAACATATAGCACATCATTAGTTTCAGAGGTAGAGTTCAGGGATCCATCAGTTGCGTGTAACACCCACTGCTCATCACATCACGTGCCCTCCTTAATGCCCACCACCCAGTTACCCCATCCTCCCCACCTGCCTCCCCTCCAGCAACCCTCAGTTTGTTCCCCAGAGTCCAGAGTCTCTCATGGTTCGTCTCCCTCTCTCATTTCTTCCCGTTCAGTTTTCCTTCCCTTCCCCTGTGGTCCTCTGTGCTGTTTCTTATGTTCCACATATGAGTGAAACCATATGATAATTGTCTTTCTCTGATGGACTTATTTCCCTTAGCATAATACCCTCCAGTTCTATCCATGTCGATGTAAATGGTGGGTATTCATCCTTTCTGATGGCTGAGTAATAGTCCATTGTATATATAAACCACATCTTCTTCATCCATTCATCTGTTGAAGGACATCTCGGCTCTTTCCATAGTTTGGCTACTGTGGACATTGCTGCTATGGACATTGGGGTGCAGGTGAGCAGGCAGTTCTTATAAAAATGATAAAAGATCTGTCCCCTGCACAATACCAGGGCACTGGGAGGAGATGGGGACCATGGAGCTGTTGCATCAGACTCTCAACCCGGGCATAACTCCCAGGTACACCCAGGGAAGCCAGAGCTGAGTTTAAAGGTTGGCACGGAGTAAGCAAGGGTATTAGAAAATTGGCCGGAGGGGCTGGGTGGAGAGGGGTGGTTGAGGTTTTGCTCCTGAGAGGGACGACATGGAGGTAAGATGTGTCTATGAAGACTTTAAACACTCTGCTATATACACCAAGGTTTTGTGGGTGTAGCTCTTCAGGGAACCCCAAACTGGGTTCCTCACCAAGGTGGCAATGACAGTGTAGCCCCAGCCTCCAAGTGAGAAGGGGAGGGCAGACAGAAGTCAGCCGGGGATGACCTGGTGAGCACCACGGGGATCACTCGGGAGCTCGGGCCAGGCGCTCAGCAGGTCTGAAGGGTGGTGCTCCCTGCTGGCACTGCCTAGGACACCTTGGCATCAGGTGTTCATCAGGCTCCCAGTCTCGGGCAACTCCTCATACTTTGGCCCAGGGGAAAATTGACTCTGACACAAATAAAGCTGCCGACCCAGGAGCTTAAAACTCACCTGAGAAACCTGTCCCTAAATCAGAGCAGATCTGAGCCTCATGAGCCATCTCCAGCTACCTAAGTTGCGGTGGGGGGGGGGGGGAAGCATTATTTAAAGGAAAATGGACTTTTATGCCTTTATGGTTTCCCCCGTCATAATCATGAGAACCCATGTTCTACGAATGTTCACTGTATGCCAAGCACCTTGTGAATAGCTGGACCAATCTTAGATCTCGTCTCGTAGACGAGAAAACTGAGGCTTGCAGAGGTCATGGAATTTTCCTACAGGTCCTAAGGGCTAGATTCAGAGCTGGACATCTGAGGGGGTCTAGTTCAGGGGTAGAGTGTGTGGCTGCAACCAAGTTAGACGTCTGACTCCAGCACCTGGGGCACTAACCACTGTTCGGTACGTCACCTCCGTATAACCGGAGTAAACATGTGTGGCAGAGACAAGTTTAAAAAAGGAAGCACAGGGGCGCCTGGGTGGCTCAGTTGGTTAAGCGGATGCCTTCGGCTCAGGTCATGATCCCAGGGTTCTGGAATGGAGCCCTGCATCAGGCTCCCTGCTCAACGGGGAGCCTGCTTCTCCCTCTGCCCGCCACTCCCCCTGCTTATGCTCTCTCTCTCACTCTCTCTGACAGATAAACAAATAAAATATTTTTAAAAATAAAAAGGGAAGCACACATAAATAAGGCAATTATTAAGTCACCCAGGAGTAACCACTATGAGCATTCTGCCTTACAACCTCAGATGTGTGTGGGGTGATATATGTCCTTTTCTCTTTTTCTAGAGATTTTTACAACAGTGCTTGTTATTCATTAACATCCTTCCATGTGATGTGTATTTTACAAGAGTGGGCTTTATTTTATTTGGGCTTTATTTTATTTCATAAATGAGGTACATGAATTCAACCAAACCCCCCTCCTGTTGGGTTTTTTCCCAACCCTTGTGGGTTTTTTCCATCTCTCACAGTTAAGAATAGCCTTGTAACAAATCTTGTTACATGTCCTACTTATTTCTTTGGCAAATTCCTAAATGTGAGAGATAAGATCAAAGCATATGGGCACCTGGGTGGCTCAGTTGGTTAAGCGACTACCTTTGGCTCAGGTCATGATCCCAGGCTCCTGGGATCGAGTCCCGCATCAGGCTCCCTGCTCAGCAGGGAGTCTGCTTCTCCCTCTGACCCTACCCCCTCTCATGCTCTCTCTGTCTCATTCTCTCTCTCAAATAAATAAATAAAATCTTAAAAAAAAAAGATCAAAGCATATGCACAATGTAAAAGTTATTGCTACATAATGCTACAAATGTCCCAATTGAAACTCCCACCAACAGGGTCTGAGAGTACCTTTCCCCACCTGTGCAACCATGTGCCATATAATCCTTACAGATTTGACTTTTTCCAGCTTCTTACAGCTATTTGAATTTCCATTGATTTGACCATCTGTCAAGTTAACACCTTTTTTCTGTATGAATTTCTTCAGTGAATTGTTTGCATCATTTGGCCAATTTTTCCATGGAGTGTTTGGGGTTTTTTTTCCTTTTTTCTTATTGAGATCTGAATGCCTTTTATATATTAAGGATATTAACATATCAAAGATAGCTAATATTTTTCCCCAATTTGTTACATGCTCTTTAACTTTTTAATGATTTTTTTTCTGTGCTAAATGCAATATATTTTTTAAACCTTTTTTTTTTCCTACCACTCTCCCCTGAACAACTAAAGCTGCCTTGGGTAACTCCACACAGAGGTCTGACAACTGTCTTGGCCTCTGTGATGAACTAGCAACACCTGCCAAGGCGTGGGCAGGGAGCATTTGCCTTGCAGACCACCACAAAGAGAGGTAGAGGTTGTGTCCCAACCGTGAAAAGGGAAGGTCCAAACTATGAAATTGTGCTAAGACAACAGACATAAACTGAAAATGTTCCCAGCAGAAGGGATATATGGCCATCCCACAACAGCATAGAGGAGGGGACCAAGGCCCAGAAGACTTATGGGCTTCCATCAAGGTCACACAAGTGGTTAAGTGCAGACCTAGCTTTGGACTCAACCATCTTTCACCATGCTTCAAGCCTACAGCTAACCCACTGTGCCCCCTCAGGCAAGTCCCCTGTGTCTCTGGGTCTTAAATTCCTCTCTATAAAATTCAGAGTTGTGGCTTAAGAAATTCTAATGACTTGGCCAGTGCAAATCTCTGGTCTCTACCCACTGGAGTTTTGAAACATCTAGTGAAAGCCAGTCACTCAGCATCTGTTCCTTTCCATTTTCTGCCCTTCCCGGGAGAAGGTCAATGTCTTAGCTCGGGCTGCCATCACAAAATACCATAGACTGGATGGCTTCAATAACAGGACTTTATGTCTCACAGGTCTGGAATCTGGAAGTCTTAGACCAAGGTCCATCAGGGTTCAGATTCTGGTGAGGGCTCTCTTCCTGGCTTGCAGATGGCCACCTTCTCACTGCATCTCCACATGGTCTTTCCTCTTGAGTGTGTGTGAGCAGGGAAAAAGAGAGAGTGACAGCAAGCTCTCTGCTGTCTCTTCTTACAAGGATACTAATTCTATTGGACCATGGCCCCACTCTTATGACCTCACTTAACCTTAACTACCTCCTTATAGGCCCTCTGTCCTTAGAGGCCTTCTGTCAAATTAGGTGTTAGTATTTCAACATATGAATTTAGCAGGGACACAGTTCAGTCCATAGCAGGGGAGAGGATGCTCTAGGTTTGGCAGGAATTGGAGGAACATCTGAGTAGGCCTGTCGGCTTGTGGAGGATTGACTGCAGCTTTCTCAGTGCCGGAGCAGTGGAACTGTCCTTGGCAGATGTGACCCTGACATACTTCAGAGGATGAGCCATGTTGCTCCAACACCTCCTCTCTGACCTCACCTGGGCCTGAGGAACTGCATCTCAGCCAGCCTAGCCAAGGGCCTGGAGAGAAAACTAGGGTATGTTTCTGCAGGAAGTGTTCACACATTTTAAGCAGGCATCCTGGCTGAGCTGGGCCAGTGGAGAAAGCAAAGTTGAGTTTTGCTCAGAAGCTTTTATAAGACTGTGAGCTTTTGTAGTCTGTCTGAGGTTGGATTCTGCCTATTTTACTGACTAGTTATGAGGTCTAGGACAAATAATGTAATCTCTGTGCCCAAAGATCTAAGTTAGGAATTGCAATAGCTGATACCAACAGGAATTTTTTTTTTTAAAGATTTTATTCATTTATCTGACAGAGATAGAGCACAAGTAGGCAGAGCAGCAGGCAGAGGCAGAGGGAGAAGCAGGCTCTCCGCTGATCAGGGAACCCGATTTGGGGCTCAATCCCAGGACCCTGGGATCATGACCTGAGCCAAAGGCAGTCGCTTAACCGACTGAGCCATCCAGGCGCCCTAGTAACAGGAATCTTAATCTCTTAAACAATGGGGACATTGAGTTCTTTCCTGCACACTTTCCATCTTTCTGCTTTGCCATCCTTAGCACGTGGATCCCACCTCCAAGGCTGCCTCGTGTCCAAGATGAGTTGCAGGTGCTCTAGCCATCACATCTTCATTCCAGGAGAGAGGGTAAGCAGGACACACATATTTTACAGAGCTTTTCCAGACGTCTGCCTTTTAAACGTTTCAGAAGTCCCATCAACATTTTCCTCTTACGTTGTCTGAAACTTATTCACAGGGGCACACCCTGTGGCAAGGAAGACTGGGAAGTGTAGTCTCAGCATGGCATGTTGCTGCCTCAAATAATATTGGGGTTCTTTTCTGAAGTGAAAGATTCGAATGGATATTGGGTAGGCATCTTGCAATTTCTGTTAACACTCAGTTTTTTTCTGCCTGCAGTTTGGGGATTGTAATGATACCCACCTCACAGGAGTGTTGTGTTGCCTTGTACCCAGTAGAGACTCAATATATGTTAGCTGAATTACTGTCTATCAAGAGTGAATGAAGTAAAAAAGGAAAATAATATTGGCATTACTATGAAGATAGTTTTGACCTCATAGACCCAATGAAAAGGTCTCCGGGTGGGGGGGGGGCTGGGTGGCTCAGTCAGTTAAGCAGGTGTCTTCAGCTCAGGTCATGATCTGGGGGTCCTGGGATCAAGCCCCGCATCAGCATCTCCACTCAGCGGGGAGTCTGCTTCTTCCTCTCACTCTCCCTCTGTGCTCTCTCTCTCTCAAATAAATAAATAAAAACCTTTTTAAAAAAAGAAAAGGTCTCAGGGGTCCCCAGGACTCCCAGATTACATTTTGAGAACTGCTGCTTAGAGAATCAGATTCTTCTTGGAGGGGCTTGCTAACCAAGCTCCAGCATGACACTGAAAGAACATACTACCATCCTTTCCATCTTTTTGAAGTTTGGATAATTTTTGTAACAGATATGACCTAGTTTTTATTTTTCCAAGATCTAGCATAATCTGTAATGCCGTTTCTGTGTATGTCCTTGTCTTTGCTCATCTTAGAAGTGTAAACCCCATGAGCACTTGCCACTGTGCTCCAAAGCTTGCCATGTGGAAGTAGATCCACAGACAGAAACTTGACAATGTTGAGCTTTCCCGACACCCTGTGCTCCTGGAAAACAGTAAAGGTTAAGACTTCCTCATCCCAATCCACCCATTGTGTTCTGGAAAATAACTTATTGCAAAGAACCACCCTTCCTTCCCCGTATGACTTAAATAAGACTCATGGATGCCGTCCTTGTTTACCTATGACAAGGCCAGACACAAACCCCTAAATTCTTCCTTTGCCTCATACATGGTTAGCTGAGCCCCTTGTCCCCACTGATCAATCAGAACAAAATGCTTGTTTTAAGCAAAATTCCATGAAACCTCGCTCCTTCATCCAGGCGCCTGAACAGACTTTAGCCTACCCTCAGCTTGAGCCACTATACAGTCCCTCTTTGAGAGTAGACTGGCCTCAGGTAGAACGTTCTTGTATCTACCTGTCCAGTTCTGCCACCCTTTTGTCCCACTTCCACACACCTGGTTCTTTTTAGCCTTACTTACTCCTCTCTATAAAAGAAAAGCCCTTTCTAACTCTTGAGATGCTTGCAGACCTTATAGTCAGAGGGTTCTCCCTATGGCAAATCTTTTTCTCCCCTTGCAATAATCTTTTAGAATAAAATCTCTCCTAAATCTGGATTTGTTTTTTATTGGACATGCTGAATGAAAGAAACAAGTGTAACAGATCAGAGAGTGGCTATATTAATTCAGCTTTGCAGATTCTGATCTGACTCCTCTCCCTTTTAATCACATTCTTACATTCTGATGCCTAGACTTGCCAAATCCACCAGCCCATGACCAAGCACTTTGGGCCAGGAGTACAGCTGTGGCTGATAGCGGGGCTTTACACATTAGGATTTGGATTTTGGTGCTGGCACTCCTCTCCTCTGTACCTTGGGTCAGGTCACTTAATGTCTCACCTGTTGAGCCACTATTTACTAAGTGTAGGCTTTGAATTGGACACAGGTTGTGGTGAGCAAAACAGACGATAATTAGGGACAGGAGGATTTGGGCAATAAAACAAGTAAATCAACTGAGACGTGAGATGAAGAAACAGAATGTCCTGACAGAGCATGGAGGGAGCACCCAGGTATATGGGGTAGACAGGGAAGGCTCTGCTGAGAAAATGGCCTATCTGAGGCCTGGGGGCCAGAAGGTCCAGCCATACCAGCCGCTGAGAGAAGGCTATTCCTGTGAAGGGCCAGGGGTGGGAGATCTGGGTGTTTAAAAGCCAGAAAAAAAGGGGAGAGTGGCTAAAAGAAATGAGTAAATGGCAGAGAATGCACTGGAGCTCTCTAACGGTCCGGGCCTTTGTCTGCCAAGATAAAGAATTCGACTTTATTTTAAGTAGGATGGAAAGCCTTATAAAAGGGAGAGATCTTATTGTTTTAATCCTTTTGCTTTGTGGTTTAATTGGATTATTACTGGGATTTCATTTTTCTTCCCTATTAACCATTTGTATACTTTGGCGAATTGTCTTCTCATGCTCCCCACCCATTTATCTACCGGGCTGTTAAGTGACTTTCTCATTCATTTGATGAGGTTTGTCTCAATTAAGGATTTTAATCTTTTGTGGTGTTGCATATATTTCCCCCTGGTTACGGTTTGCTTTTTAATTTTGCTTTCCTTTTTTTGGGTTGAAATTTTAAACCTTTGTGCTTTAGTGTATGAGAGGGTTCACCCATCTATTAAGCTTAAGGAGTCGTCCCCCGCCATCGACCTTGGGTAAATTGTGGTGTTTGTGGTCCGTGTTGTCGTGGCTCAGTGGTTTACATTGGTGGACTTTTCTATTTTCGTGTGCGCGGAGGACCAAACTCCTCCTGTGGAGGTAAGCGCTTCAAGATGTGGAGACCCCTGGCCCACCAGGGCCGAGCCAGAGCGGGGAGGGGACGCCCTTCCCAGCGGGAGGCCGCAGCAGGTGGCACCCACTCTGCTGGGAATCCGCCCCCTCGTTACACAATTGACACAGAGGGCGGGGCCAAAGTCCTCTTCTACAGGTGAGAAAGCTGAGGCTCAGCAGAAACCTGGGAGGGGGAGGTAAGCCTACAGCAGAAGCAAAAACTGCAGCTGGGCCGAGCTGGTGCCCGGGTGGCGGGCAGGCGGGTAGGGCTGGGGTCAGGTCGGAGAGCTGGAGCCCCGCCCCGCCCCTCCCCGGCCCCGCCCCGCCCCTCCCCGGCCCCGCCCCGCCCCTCCCCGGCCCCGCCCC